TTAGTTAATAACGGAATTAAATAAGTCAAATAACGAGAATGGAGTTTTGAATGCATATATTTTGTATAATTGTTGATTAGACAGAACGAACGGAGAAACGATGCGAAGATTAGAAAGCGAAGCTAAATTGGCGCGCGGTGGAGATGGCTGGTAAGCCAACTCTCCCTTTAACAAAGAGTTAATCAATATTTATAAGCCCACAAAAATAAATTACAGACATGTGATGAGTAACGGGAACTCCGCCTGGAGTCCCTTTCCGGGGGCTACTGCCGGTCCCAAGCCCGCATAAAGGAGGAGGGTTGGGCATGGGGTTAGCGACCCCATCCCGTAGAAAACTAACTCGCTAAAAAAACGCTAACCAGAAAGAATTATTCAAACCATTTAAACTCTGCCCTGGGAGTCAGGAGGTCTTCGTTTAGAAGAATTATGACGCCTCATGATGAAAGCCGAGTTTCTTCGGAAGTCACGAGGCCGATGCCCCTTCTGACAACCAGAGCAACCATTTATTTAGGTACATGGAATGCTCGCACAATGTGGGAGACTGGGAGAGTTTTTCAAATTGCTGCAGAAATGAGGAGATACAATTTAGAGGTGCTTGGGATCAGTGAAACACATTGGACGCAAGTTGGACAACAACGACTAGCTTCAGGGGAGCTGCTGTTATACTCCGGACATGAAGAAGAAAATGCCCCACACACACAAGGAGTTGCATTGATGCTGTCCAAACAAGCCCAAAATGCACTTATAGGATGGGAATCTCATGGACCAAGGATCATCAAAGCCTCCTTCAAAACAAAGAAAACGGGGATTACAATGAACGTCATCCAATGCTACGCGCCTACCAATGACTACAATGAAGACGCTAAAGATCAATTCTACGATAGGCTGCAGTCAATCGTCGAGAAGTGCCCAACAAAAGACCTGACTATTCTGATGGGAGACCTAAATGCCAAGGTTGGAATTGACAACACCGGATATGAAGAGATCATGGGACGACACGGACTGGGAGAAAGGAACGAAAATGGTGAGAGATTTGCAAATCTATGTGCCTTCAATAAACTGGTCATAGGCGGGACTATATTCCCACATAAACGCATACACAAAACCACATGGACTTCACCGGATCACAGCACACAGAACCAAATCGACCATATCTGCATCAACAAAAATTTCAGGAGGACGATGGAGGACGTGAGAACAAAGAGAGGAGCTGATATAGCATCAGATCATCACTTGCTGGTCGCCAAGATGAAATTGAAACTCAAGAGACACTGGACAACGGGGAGGACAATATCACAAAAATTTAATACGGCTCTTCTTCGAGATAATGACAAACTCAATAAATTCAAGATAACCCTCAGCAATAACTTCCAAGCCTTTCATGATCTACTCAATGGAGAAGAAACTACTATGGAGAGCAACTGGAAAGAGATAAAAGAGGCAATCACATCAACATGTCATGAGGTTCTGGGCCAAAAGAAGCACCATCACAAGGATTGGATCACGGTCGATACACTGGATAAGATTCAAGAAAGGAGGAACAAGAAAGCAGCAATCAATACCAGTCGAACAAGAGCAGAAAAAGTCAAGGCACAGGCTGAATACACAGAAGTAAACAAGCAAGTGAAAAGGAGCATCAGAACTGACAAACGTAAATATGTCGAAGATTTGGCATTGACGGCGGAAAAGGCTGCCAGAGAAGGAAACATGAGACAACTGTATGAAACAACAAAGAAACTCTCTGGAAATCACCGTAAACCAGAACGACCAGTGAAAAGCAAGGAAGGCAAGATAATCACCAACATTGAAGAACAACGAAACAGGTGGGTAGAACACTTCAAAGAACTCTTGAATCGACCAGCCCCACTGAACCCACCCAACATCGAAGCAGCACTCACGGACCTCCCAATTGATGTTGGCGCGCCGACAATTGAAGAAATCAGCATGGCTATCAGATAAATCAAGAGTGGCAAAGCAGCAGGACTAGACAGCATTCCAGCAGAGGCACTGAAAGCAGACGTAGCGGCAACTGCAAGGATACTCCAAACTCTCTTCAGAAAGATCTGGGATGAGGAACAGGTACCAAAAGACTGGAAAGAAGGACTTCTAGTTAAAATACCAAAGAAAGGCGATCTCAGCAACTGTGACAACTACAGGGGAATCACTCTTCTTTCAATACCGGGAAAAGTCTTCAACAGGGTATTGTTAAACAGGATGAAGGACTCCGTAGACGCCCAACTTCGAGACCAACAGGCAGGATTCCGTAAGGATAGATCGTGCACAGACCAAATCGCAACTCTACGGATCATTGTGGAACAATCAATTGAATGGAATTCATCACTCTATATCAACTTCATCGACTACGAAAAAGCATTTGATAGCGTGGACAGAACAACCCTATGGAAGCTTCTTCGACACTACGGCGTGCCTCAGAAGATAGTCAATATCATACGGAATTTCTATGATGGATTAAACTGCAAAATCGTGCATGGAGGACAGTTGACAAAGTCGTTCGAAGTAAAGACCGGTGTCAGGCAAGGTTGCTTACTCTCACCCTTTCTCTTTCTCCTGGTGACCGGCTGGATCATGAAGACATCAACATCTGAAGGGAAGCACGGGATACAGTGGATAGCTAGGATGCAATTGGATGATCTAGACTTCGCAGATGATCTGGCTCTTCTATCGCATACGCAACAACAAATGCAGGAGAAGACAACCAGTGTAGCTGCAGCCTCAGCAGCAATAGGTCTCAATATACACAAAGGGAAAAGCAAAATTCTTCGATACAACACAGCATGCACCAATCCAATCACAATTGACGGAGAAGCTTTGGAAGATGTAAAAACCTTTACATATTTGGGCAGTATCATCGATGAACACGGTGGATCTGATGCAGATGTGAAGGCACGGATTGGCAAAGCAAGAGCAGCATATTTACAACTGAAGAATATCTGGAACTCAAAACAATTAGCAACCAACACCAAAGTCAGAATTTTCAATACAAATGTCAAGACAGTTCTACTGTATGGGGCGGAAACCTGGAAAACTACGAAATCTATCGTCCAAAAGATACAGGTGTTTATTAACAGTTGCCTACGCAAAATACTTCGGATCCGTTGGCCGGACACTATTAGCAACAACCTACTGTGGGAGAGAACAAATCAGATCCCAGTGGAGGAAGAAATCAGGAAGAAGCGCTGGAAGTGGATAGGACACATATTGAGGAAAGCACCGAACTGCGTCACAAGACAAGCCCTCATATGGAATCCTCAAGGTCGAAGGAAGACCAAAGAATACATTACGCCGAGAAATGGAGATAGATATGAGAAAAATGAACAAGAATTGGATGGAACTTGAAAAGAAGGCCCAGGACAGAGTGGGTTGGAGAATGCTGGTCGGCGGCCTATGCTCCATTGGGAGTAACAGGCGTAAGTAAGTAAGTAAGTAAGTAAGATGAGTAACGGGATAAGAAGTGTGCATACGCCTACGCGCTCATACAAAGACAGTCAAGACATTGATAAGCGAATAATTAACAAGGTCAGAATGTGACTCAAATAGAATGAATAGAATGGGCTGTCCGAAAGTTAGAATAATGAGGTATTTGGGCTTAACATAATGACAGACACTACAATACGTAAGCTTTCTTTATTTCTCATTTTGTAAATATTGAATTTATATACTAGAGATAAGTTTAAATGATTAGAGCGTAATCGTTTAGTGGCCAAATGACTGAACTTTTATTCTATAAGTTGTGTGTTGTGCACTACTTATGTGGACAGACATAAGTAGTATGTAGCAGGAATTGGGAGTAGAATGATTACCATAAGAAAAATGAAATAAGAGTAATCGGAAATAACATGATCGGAAAAATGATGAAGTATGTACAAGACAACTGAAGGAAGATATGCAAATGATGTATTTAATTTATGATTTTCAGATTTTGCTAAGCTACTATGTAATTTTGTATATAACAACAAATTATTTTTGCCCACTGCAAGTCTGAGTTCACTACAGTACCTTTTGAACAAAATGAACTGGGCGGTCATTATCACTAGTGACTACAGAATCAAAAGTATAACTCAAGAACTATATAGACGTAAGTTTCTACCTGGTAAATGGATTATGTTAGATTAAAAAAATAAATTTCGGTTTGTACCACAGAATAATAGATTTCATTTAAATTTTATTAGGGGATAGAAATGCAATGTGTCATTATACATGAACATATGAATAGGTCATAAAGTTCCAGTGAGGTAATATTATTTCTCAAAGTCATAAAATGGTAGTATATGTATAGAATTCAACATACACTTCAGAGATAGTGAAAATTTGTAGCTCAGATGAATGATTTCAGCATAAAGCTAATCGATTTAATCATGAAGTCTTCATTATTCTAAGGGAGAACATCATTAGAAGAAATTTCAGGTAGAAGTGGTCGATTCAAATTTCTCCATACATGAACTGACAACCTGTTTGTATTAATAATGTTATCCAGAAGTTACGATGAAAGCTTCAAAATTAGACCAATCAACTTCAAAATACTAGCACCAAAAAAAAGGGTTTCAGCAGGACAGTTTAAACTAAGCACATCATAAGACAGTAAACTTAACATTGGTAACTAGATACTACGTCTCCTATTATTTAACAGTCATTCTCTGGGAATCTTAATCACTAACACTACAACTGTGGTGAATGCTACTTATGTCGACAGAGATAAGTAATATGTGACGCCGATCAGAAGGGAATGCATGGCAGCAGAAGACTATGAAGGTCAACTTGAAGAAAAACAGAAAGGGAAATAGAAAGAAACCGAAACTTGGAATAACCATACAGAATGTGAAGGACAAATGATGGGATGTCACAAATGAGATATTCAGTGTGTGGTTCTCATATCTTACCAAAAAAATCCGTAATTTTCTATTAAAATACAATACTACCATTACTAATAATTATAGTAATAACACATGATTCAAGAAAGATGGTACTAAACTATAACTTACTGATTTCATCAATAATAATCCCATCCTCTACAGAAATATGAATAAATAAATTTGTCCAACGGTCATAGACAGATAGTTTTCTAGAAGAAACGAAAAAACCAGGTTCTGAATCTACATAAATCATGAACTATTTACATGTGATGATATCCGAGGATCAATGAACATCTAATGAATATTGGTTAACTCTATTACTACTATCATAATTATTAAATGAATCTATTTTGTTGTGGTGCAAGGAGTTTGAAGCTAGAAATTCAGAGAACACTGGATAGTTGTTTATTTATTTATTATTTATTTTAAAACAACATATATAAGCGAACAATATTGTTTTCGATTAGATCCTCATCAGGCTTTACTCTAATATACAGTAATATTTATATGCACATACGAAATTATTAAACCAATCAAGGTAGTTTATAAATCAATGATAACGATGAATAAAACAATTACATAATATGTGAAAAGTACAAATAGATAGTGTGATGACAGGTGTACTAGTTTTTATAAGAATAATAAAGGCTCAAATCAATGTTACATAATCGGAAATAGGTCAATGATTAGAAAAATATAGATAGTGAGATAACATTTATAAAAATTATTATAAGATGACGTAATGAGAAAGCTATATTGGGCGCACAACCAGGCAACTGAACCAAAGAGTTAGTGAACACCTCCCATCGTGTTTAGGAAAAGGTTACGTAAAGACAATACGCAGCTCGGTTCTATCACACTTGATCGATAGCGGTCATTTAGTGGACAGAAACAAGTCATTTAAAGTTATTTATCGTATTCCCATTAGTTTTCCTTATGGTGTTCGATCTCGTCTCTTACACATAGCAGAAGCTATAGGAATTCGAGTCTTTGTGTTCAGAAGAAATTTGTAACACCCTTATATCTCCCTTGGCCTTAATAAATGAATTTATTATTTTCTTTTCAAACCTTCTCTTTGTTTATTAATTCTTCTTCACCCCCTCCTACTATTTTATTTTTATTTTTTCACGGTTCAATTATCTGAACACTTCTCATTACGTCATCTTATAATAATTTTTATAAATGTTATCTCACTATCTATATTTTTCTAATCATTGACCTATTTCCGATTATGTAACATTGATTTGAGCCTTTATTATTCTTATAAAAACTAGTACACCTGTCATCACACTATCTATTTGTACTTTTCACATATTATGTAATCGTTTTATTCATCGTTATCATTGATTTATAAACTACCTTGATTGGTTTAATAATTTCGTATATGCATATAAATATTACTGTGTATTAGAGTAAAGCCTGATGAGGATCTAATCGAAAACAATATTGTTCACTTATATATGTTGTTCTAAATTTACATTATGGGAATATTTCAAATTAATTTTAACACATAGATATTGGTACAAGGAGGCACCAAATACATATGCGCCACACAAATCTCATTTGATATGTGTGAGGGCTGTGATACTGCCCAGGTGCCCAAACCGAAGCAGGTGGATAGTTGTTTAGTTCTACTATATTTCAGTAGTGAACAACCATCACACCGCCAGGGATAGAACTCAAGGCTTTCGGACCGTGAGTGTGACCTTTGGATTAATGAGCTGGGATTCAATAATGGAAATGATTTAACTTCAATCAGTTTGGTGTGATGTACGATCATCGTTCAACGCAATAATTAATATGTATTGCACCCATACTACATAACTGAACTCAGTCGATCATGACTCACCCACTAAAATCTTAGGAATTCTCAAAATTAGTTGATAGTGAGGAAAACATTATTATTAGGACGACCGTGCCCTATACTGAATTCGGGAATATTATTAACTCAGTGACTTAAAATTGACATAAGCATTGTCCCGGTCTGGAAGTTTTTTAAGGCTTCAATTCTTAGTAAAGTTGTTGATGGATTATTGCTGAGGTGTTCTACACTAACGAGAAATGGATGATCCATTACTTTCTAGTGTTTTAGGTTATGGAGCAAAGCTACCTTTAAAACCAGTTTCTGTTTGCATGGATCTCACATTTATACGTTTAAAAAACAAGGTATGTACTAACTTGAGTACTTGTGCAACAGTATTTGGACCAAACCAACTGCCAATAGATTTGCCAAGTGATACACCTGTGAGGGCTAACAGCAAAGCAAACAAAAAGAAACAGATAAACATTGTTGTCACATATTTATTATGAAGAGCAGTCTGTCTTATGTTTTCGGTAATCGTCTCTTGAACATTGAGAAAAAAAAGCACGATTTAAACGATAAGTAAGCATCATTAACAAAGGTTGATTTATAATTTATTAATAATAATAATAGTAATAATAATAATAATAATAATAATAATAATAATAATAATAATAACCTCAATCTCAATGGTTAGTCTTTCTCAGTGTCGTCACTACGTTACTTCAACTCTGCTATTCCACTTGTTGTTTTTTTATCTGGTCGTATTGATATGGTTTGGTAATGTGAACTAACGCACGATTGTGTCAGGTTCTACGTTGATTATGACTGGGCAATCATATTTAGATTTATCTAAGACATAATGAAAAATTATGTATAAAGGAACAATGAAACTCAGAATGTTGAGAAAAATGTAGATGCATCTGCCCATTGTAGCCGACTCTGAGTTATGTCATGTCTCCAGCCACTGATTGCAGTTATCACACCGACTTCAACCACGTAGGTTTCACCTACAAACAGACAATAACTTTATGGACTGTTGCTACATCTTGATTTGGGTGCTTCTGGTTCTTTTCCAAATGACTTCTACACCAACTAACAATACCAATCGACGCGCATGGTAGTTGGAGTTACGTAAAACCTGTCCTAACCGTCTCAGTCGATAACCTCGCTAGTCGATTTACCATACTTGTCTAACTCCAGCATTATTCACTGAGCCATTTCATGATAAACGACAGCTGCTTCGAAGACATCCATGCTCAAAATTCTGTTGGTAACCTGTCTTATATCTTCATGGACCATATTTTGCAGATGCAGAGTAGATTTATAGGCGGTATACTCCCTCTTAGGTTAGAAGACTGACATTTCGCCTACGCCATTAATTATGTAATTTTGCGAAAACCAGGAGTTTTCTGAATCCGTGCAGAAAATTTGTCAAAAGACTATTCCACCAAAGTTGGTGAGACTCCTAAGTCGATAAGTGAACCTCCTGGTAGAACACCTATGATAAAATTAGGTATAAAGAGGGAAAGTGAGGAACTCCAACGAATACCATATTAGGTTAATGATTTGGATGAAAATTCACATAAGCTATAACTCAACCGATGGTGTTCGTAAAGACAGCCTATTTAAGCTTTATGTACTTACGTAACGCGATTTATATTATTCAGTTGATAAAGTTTTAGTTGTTTTATAAATACTGGCGACAAATACCTTAAACAAATAAGTAGCACATCACGATTTTATAAAAAAAGGAAAAGTATTATATTTACTTATAGTTTGAATGGAATAAAGAGCAGACCGTCGATCTTGAAACATTTGTAGAAGGCGGTAATATTCCGGGCTTTCTTGTTCAGGACTCCATTTCCACGCTGAAAGATGATGATAAAATAATTAGCGGGTTATTTTGTTAAAATAAAGGAATCGTATTATATACAAACTTTAGATGTGATAATGAATATTGATTAATGAAAGAAACCTTGATTTTACTCTTTACTTCTATTGCGCTCAATCAGTAAGGAAAATAATAATGTAAATATCATTCTTTAACGCAGGTAGAGATTTATTTGACAACACAAAAACAACTAAACTCAGTAATAGTGGTATGATTAAAATCCGTTAAATGACCAGGAAATGGTTTCATTTTCTAAGGAGTAATATATATATATATTGGCAAGTTTCTTTAACAGGCCGTCAAAATCATCACAAAAAGCTGAAATTTTGAGGATAAATATGAAGTTATCATGAGAAAAAGAATTGATAAGATACTAAATATTTACAAAAAAAACGTAAATATTTATTCAACACATCTGTGTTATGGAACATTTTCGAAAAATTATTAGTTACTAAGAAATAAACATCATTACCGGAAAAGATACAAGTATGGTAAGGCTATGATAACCCGACCGTTGTTGCTACCTTGACGTGGTAGTCGGGCTTGCCCATCGTGATGAAGCAACTGAGCTATACTGGCTGGAACAACCGTTCCTCAAGGTCCTACCATGCCAGACAGGTCGGCTGAAGAGCGGTAAGACTAAAAGCAACAAAACCAAGGTCCGTAGGCGAAGTCGTACTGCTGACTGTACAGAGGTGTGACAGCAGTAAGGTGTTTCCTTCAGACAACCAGCATGACAGCGATGCTGCCTTCCCAAAAAAAGGGGAGGGGTTAGAAAAGGTCAACCCTAAAAACGCACACCTCATCTTATCCCATGGATATCCGTCTCCGGCGGTAAGGTCTCAACAACTACGGAGCTAACACGAAAATTACCCATAAAAAGGTCGTGTGTGACCGACCTCAAGTAATTGTCCCTTGGGCACTGCATTGCGGTCACGCTCTCAGGTCACTATGACCACCTCTAATCCAAGTTCCTTTTCAGATACCTCTAGAGGAACCCTTCCACAGTGTGGGCGACCGGAAAGTGATAACCGCCCTCATACCTCTAACAGCACTCAAGACCGACTGGCTGAGACTATGATAAATAATTCAAAAAATGATATACCATTATGTAGACAAAATTAATTTATTTTTGGTCTATTAAATTAGGACTAAACATTAGTAGATTCGAATATATACAGAAAGAGATTATTATCTCTTAGGTTTTAATAACCATCCTGACGATAAAGTTTAACATTACATCTTCAGAATTCTTGTATATTTGAAAGAAATAAAATCAATTCATTACTATCTTTTGTATAAGGTTATTTGTTGGAATTTAATTAGTCGGAAACCCATAATTTAAATTTTATTCCTAATGAAGTACGAACAATCTATAGGCAACTTATTAGGTATATAAATCTTAACAATTTTGATTGTGCTAATTATTGTGCATAGACCAAGTTGTAGTTTAATTTATTAGTTAAGATGTATCTTTGAAGGTCAGATATTCTTGTATAGCTCTATTTAGCAATGTACTAAAATAACTTATTATCCTTTTTGATGCTCAGACTAAGTACAATCCGATTTCGTGATGAATGTATTAAACTGACATTTTTAACGATCCAGTTGTTAGATCACGGAGTAAGTAATGATGATAACTAGTGGAATCAACGAAATGAGATAATGAATTACACTGGACTTTATATATGACAATGATGTAATAAGCAGTAAACTTAATAAAAATTCGATATATATATATATATATATATATATATATATATATATATATATATATATATATATATATATAAACAGACATCGTCCGAGGTGAAATCTTAACATGGCTTCAGCAAGAATCATTTGTCCACAGCGATGCATACAACCCCATCCAGCATCTGATTTAGGACCATTTCGACTGCCGATTGGGGAGAAACCCTTTCGGTAAGTCATCCATAGTCGAGACTTTAGGTGACGTGCAATTTCCTCCCTATCTGGAACAGCAAATAGAAAAATGTAAACAAAAAAACAGTAATATAGTTACAGGGAAAAAGCGGTTCACTGTGAAGGATAAAACTGAGTAGTAAAAGAATATATGAAGTTAACTAACTTCGTACATGTTTTCCATAATAAGATGCCCAAAAATTAGTCCTACGAATCACATTTATCTAAACATAAATATTCGTACAAATGGGAGCCAAAACAAATAAACACCACACAAATATGTAGTCGTGAAGGGAGAGTATAAGCAAGTAAATAAACGAATAGAAATAAGTGAAAGAGAATACATTATAGTGAGAGACAAATTCATTTGAAAAAATGCGACTAAGAAAAATTATTCCGGCTAAAGAAGTTCCGTTCACTTTTATGAAGAATGTAAAAGAAAACTACAACAAGACCGTCAGTAGCTTCTATTCTGAGCCATTTCTGATAGCATCTCAAGCCATCATCTGTCGGACCTGAACAAGGTTCAGTCAGTTAGTTAAACACAACCAGAGAGTCGTGAACTTACAGACACCAGTCTTATACAGCTTTTTTCCATACCCCAGGAACCTGTCACAGACTAACCACTTCTCTGCTTTTTTTGACTAATCTCTGTCGGCAATTAATGCATGGTGCGACAGCCACTGGAATAGTATTTGTAACACATGTCCGAGACATAGAAGCCAATGTTTCAAGGTGGTCAAACCAATTGAGTTGTCATCACTTTGGGCAAACACATTGCCGAAACTCACTATTACTAACATAATGCTGCCACTAAATGTCAGAAATGCTTTAGAGATAATAGCGATTAAGCACGGGGTTGCTTAATATCCTCAGTTCGGAAAAGCCAGGTTTTACAAGGATATAGGGGCAAAACCATCACCGACGAATTATAAACCTGACCTTTTACGCCCAGACTAACATTACGTTGGCCCAGATTGGCATAGGCCACTATGGCTGTTGTTATAGGCAAGCGAGTCTCATCACTTACGACATCACCAGCACTTAGTCAACTAACTACATACACGAACTTCTTAACTACTATCGGCTCACAACAAAGAGTGAGTGCAAGGACAAGCCCTCTCCAGTTTTGTAAAAATACTTCGTAGTTAAAAGATGCACCCCATATCACAAGCGGGGTAATAGGATTCAGTAATTAAAAGGTGCAAAGCACAGGGCATAGCTACGGACACTGATTACCAATTAGTTAAGTGAGATTTGCATAGCTTGTGCATCGCCATACAGTAAGACAATATCAGTAGTATACTCAAGGTCGAAAATTCCTACCTACATTCAGTAGGGCTGTTTCCAGATTGTTATGATGACAAAGTTGAGAAGGAATGATAAGATTGGGAAATCCTACCTAACCCGATTGCTCGAATGGAACGATGGATAGACGTGGTTATATGCCCTCGCTCTGTATGAGGCGTTCGCATAAAGATGGTTCGAGATTTTAATAAACCTTCCAGGTAAACCTTTATTCAATAGACAATCCGAGTAATGTCTTGTCTAATGAGTCAGAGGCCCTGATATCCAGAAACAACGATTGTTAGCTCGCAGTAAGTATGGATGTGTTTTAAAGTTTGGTGGATTGAGGATATGATCAAGTCATATAAAACGAGAACGGAAATCAACTTGCTCCACGTGAGTCAATATTTCACGGCTTTTGAACGGTCTTGGAAGCACGATGGAAGCCAATGGTCAGGATACAAGCAGATTCATCCCCTGCTAGTTTTTGGAGATGACGTAGTCCCTTTTTAAAGATGGAGACAACGGCCACCTCCAAACTTATTTTCATTTATTTATTTGGACACAAATATTGGTACAAAGGGGCACCAAATACATATGCGCCACACCATAACAATGAGAATATGAAGAGATAGAGAATGCAAGATGCTTATAAGAAAAAGGGAACAATAACAAACAGAAATTAGTGTATGATAGTGAAATAATAATAATGGGAGAAGCAGTTCAGCTAGCGAAGGTGCAGCCAAAAAGAATTCCAGTTAAAGTTACGTCCCTTTTTTAATAAAGAAAATAAAGTAGTTACAGCAGGATCGCCACTGGCTTCTATTCTGAGTCATATCTGATAACGACTCTAGCCACTATGGAGCACCATTCCTAGGACCCCAACCAGTGAGTTCTGAAGGAACAACAGAAGGCAGTCCTGTAAAGCTTTCTTTCATACCATGATACCATGTCATATACTGACCACCTCCGCTTTTTCTAACTAATCATGACGTAGAATTCTCTGGGACGACATTCGTAGAACATGCTCAAACCACCGAAGTCGATGTTTAAAGATAGTGACACCAATGGAATTATCGTCTCTGTGTCCGAACACACGATGCCGAACCTCTGCATTACTAACATGGTGTTGCCACTGGATATCAGCAGTCCTTCGGAGACAACGATGATCGAACACAGAGTCGTCTAACATCCTTAACTCGGAGAGGCCAGGTTTCACAAGCATAGAGTAAAACTGTTCTCACCGACGCGTTGCAGATCCGACTTTTTACAGCCGTATTAACATCGCGAAGGCGCCAAAGATGGCCCAGATTGGCATAAGTCGCTCTGGCTTTCACTATACGTGCATTGATCCCATCACTCACGCCACCACCAGCACTTATGCAGCTACCTAGATACACGAACTTCTCGACCACTATCTGCTCACCATCCAGAGTACAGGATTAGCCCTCAAATGCCCTGGTATGGCCGACAGTGGGGTGGGTTCGCCCTCCCTCTCGAAATACTCTCACGCGGCCACGCGTATATAGCCTCTGCCAGGGAAGTCCTACTCACTGCCTTCTCGTGGCATTACTGTTGTTTACGGAAATGAGAGGACGAAAAGCGAATGTCCGGCGCTATAACCGGATCCCAAATCAATGGTGCACATGGGCTCTAGTATCCTGCGGGAACAAATGGCGTATGAACCAAATTTTGGTCACCGGCTTCCATGGGACTGCATCTCCCCACGATGCTCCACTGCCTTGTGGACTAGACCTTTAGGTCAAAGGCTCGGGGCGTGGCCCCCTAAGAAAACCATCTGCTTCGGTCTGGGCACCCGGGCAGTATCCCAGCCCACACACTAACACATGATGAACTACTTACTTATGGAAAATATTCTTTTTGCTCCGATTTACAATGAAATGACACGCACTACTATTATTATTATTATTGTTATTATTATGATTTTACCACGTCATTTATTCACTCTCTCTTATTCCCACTTTATGTTTCCGTTTCGACTTAGACAGCAGCTCGCCTATGGTGAAAATTCGGCTCTATCTAAACGTTCTCGAGTCACTACCTGGTTGAAAATTGTATGTTACCACCGAATACGAGTACTGAAGCGGTTTTTCTGAAACTACGTGCACCATTCAAACTGGCTGCCTTCAACGTTCGCACACTCATGCAGGTCGGAGTGTCTATTGAAAAGGGTGTGTCTGAGAAGTTTATTAACAACCTAAAAGCCCTATACACAAACACCTCAGGCAGAGTGAGGGCATACAACAACCTTTCTCCATTGTTCCATTCGAGCAGTGTGGTTAGGCAAGGTTGCCCAATCTCACCATTCCTCTTCAACTTTGCTATCGATGATATTCTGGAAACAGCTCTAATGAATGTAAGTAATGGCGGTGTAGATCTGTTGCCTGGAGAAAGACTTCTCGACCTTGAGTATGCGGATGATATTGTCTTACTGTGCGAGAATGCCTAAGCTATGCAATCCGCACTTAATCAGTTGGCAACCAGTGTCCGTAGGTATGGTATGTGCTTTGCACCTTCGAAGTGCAAAGTACTTCTACAAGACTGGCAGGAATCTAATCCTGTACTCACTCTGGATGGTGAGCAGATAGTGGTCGAGAAGTTCGTGTATCTAGGTAGCTGCATAAGTGCTGGTGGTGGCGTGAGTGATGGGATCAATGCACGTATAGTGAAAGCCAGAGCGACTTATGCCAATCTGGGCCATCTTTGGCGCCTTCGCGATGTTAATACGGCTGTAAAAAGTCGGATCTGCAACGCGTCGGTGAGAACAGTTTTACTCTATGCTTGTGAAACCTGGCCTCTCCGAGTTAAGGATGTTAGACGACTCTGTGTTCGATCATCGTTGTCTCCGAAGGACTGCTGATATCCAGTGGCAACACCATGTTAGTAATGCAGAGGTTCGGCATCGTGTGTTCGGACACAGAGACGATAATTCCATTGGTGTCACTATCTTTAAACATCGACTTCGGTGGTTTGAGCATGTTCTACGAATGTCGTCCCAGAGAATTCCTTGTCGTGCATTATTTTCCGACTTTGAGACTGGTTGGAAAAAGCGGAGGTGGTCAGTATATGACATGGTGTCGTGGTATGAAAGAAAGCTGCAAAGGGCTAGCTTCTGTTGGTCCTTCACGACTCCCTGGCTGGGGTCCGAGAGACGGTGTAACAAAGTGGCTAGAGACGTTATCAGACATGGCTCAGAATAGAAGCCAGTGGCGATCCTGCTGTAACCTTCTTTTACTTTCTTCATACAAAGTGGTTGCTGCTTCCTTAACTGAAAGCTTTCTTCTGATTGTACCTTTTCGTTTCCCCCATTATTGTTCTCTCTTTTTTTTATGATTCCCCACGTTCATTACATTTTTTCTCCTTCTCTTCAAATTAAGATTGTTTTGTGTGGCGCATATATATTTGGTTCCCCCTTGTACCAATATCTATGTGTTCAAATAAATAAATAAATAAACAGGATTAGAATCCTGCCAGTCTTGTAGAAGTACTTTGCACTTTGAAGGTGCAAAGCACATACCATACCTACGGACACTGGTTGCCAACTGATTAAGTGCGGATTGCATAGCTTGGGCATTCTCGCACAGTAAGACAATATCATCCGCATACTCAAGGTCGAGAAGTCTTTCTCCAGGCAACAGATCTACACCGCCATTACTTACATTCATTAGAGCTGTTTCCAGAATATCATCGATAGCAAAGTTGAAGAGGAATGGTGAGATTGGGCAACCTTGCCTAACCCCACTGCTTGAATGGGACAATAGAGAGGTGGTTGTATGCCTTCATTTTGCCTGAAGTGAAATATGGCGGAAACCAATAGCTTGGACGCAATCGGAAGTAGATCTATCCCCCGATAGTTGTTACAGGAAAGACGTGAACCCTTTTTAAGGATAGGGACATTTATCAAGTTATTCCACGACGTTGGAACTACCAAAACTTTGTAAACAACTCAGTCAGTTCCTTAGCCAGAAAGTTACCACCATCTTTAAAAAGGACCGGAGGAAAGTCATTTGGGCCAAGTAATTTGTAGTGCTTCAAGAGTTGGAGTTCCTTGCGGACTTTCGCCTCATTTGGTGGATCATTCGTCACAAGTCATGGAGGGTGGGACAGGCTGATTGATGTTGCCAGGCAGCAGACCAGTCGAACTGCCCCTCGAAGAACTCTACCCATAGTTCAAGACGTCGATAGATATTAGTGATGCAATCAAGGATGAATTCTACCACCAGTTAACTGTTCTTTTCCAGAAAGTGCGTTCGACAGATATTGTAGTACTAGCCGGAAACTTGAAGACTCAGGTCGAGCGTCTGGGCACAGAAGAGAGTCACTTAAGTGGCCGATGGGGACTTACTGGTCACAGGACAGATAACAGGGACCGTCTACTGCAACTGTGCACAGACCACAACCTGTTTTTGGTTAGCACTAACTTCCGGCACAGTCATCGCCGACGTGCCACTTGGAGTTATCCCTCTGCATCTCAAGCCTGGACTCGGTTTGATCATATCGCGATCAGCCACCTCTGGCGTGGTTGTGTACAAGACTGCCGCTCCTTTTGGAGTACCTATCTGGATCAAACCAAAAGGAATAATAATGAGACTCAGACCAACCAAAAGTATGGATACTAATTGAAAACAACTGTGGGAACGACTTAGTATAGCTAAGAAAGTATTATTTACCAAATAACTTGACGCAATAACCCATTAGTCCAATTTCTAAAACTGAGAAAACAAGCATTTAGTGCATCAACTTATGCAGTTTTAGAACAGACTGAAAAACAAAAAAGGATACGTTCAATCGATCCCAGGATCTTTGAATACTTAAAACACTTGATTGTGGTGTTTCAATTGACTCACTATATCCAGTTATTACTCAAGTTGTAACATTTAAAAGGCTAAAGATTAGTGAGACTTTAATATATGGACGACTTTTGAGCGATAATAAATCACTTTTGAGTGAAATTTAGTGACAGAATCCGAAGGAATAAATGACCATTTAAGGCATTCTTTGAAACTTGATGACCACAGCTTTGCAACTAAGCCAACTGTTTATAGCTATGTTGTCCAAGGTCTTCGACCAAAGAATGGGACTATTATGTGAACAGTAACATTTGCCAATAAATCAATCATACCTTCGGAAGTTTATAGAATTAAGACTAGCCACTTGATAACTAAAAATAATCACATGCAGAAAACATAACTCACATGGAAGCAAAACCATAGAGAAATACTTGTGAGGAACATCAAAACAACTCCAACATGAGTCTCCTGACTAAAATTAAAAACTGGGTGGCAATGTTAGTAGTCAGACACACATTGAAGTTACTTTGGAATACCTTTAAAGTGTTTGACTATGATTCCACATCTATTTGAGTCCCTCGTTTTATGTGCCTTAAATATAAACTAAGTCTTTGGGTACAGTCCAGTGTTTGTAAACTCAAAAATAAAATGTAACCAAAACCAGAACAATGATTTTAAGCACAAATAATGAAGGATACTTACCATCTAAAGAGTCATACTTACATCCCAATATGTAAACAGATTTAGAAACACTAGGAAGATAAGGATGGTCAGGAATTGAACCTGAATAGTTAAAAACAGCTATAGAAATTTCTTTCAAAACAATATTTAACAAACCCTCCCACTGGGAATCCATTATACATTAATGAACCAAGTTGAACATATTCACATCCCTGTTTCAGTAGCAAAGCAGTAATCATAACCGCCACACATTTGGAAGTATTCAATATGTTCATTGATTGTCATCGGCAATGAATGCTGTTCACTATGTGGCCTCTGTTATAATGTGCAGCAATCATTTACACGAAGGACCAGTTTCTTCACAAAAGTTTTTAACAATGATGTTCAACCTTCAGTCAATTTTTACTAATAAGGATAGTAGGTTGGTGGACCAGTGTTAACACTTACAGTTTATTTTTCACTGAAGGCCAAGCTTCTTCTTGAAAATGTTCGATGATAGTGCACCATCGGTAATATACTGGTAACTGTTACCGTGTCCAACGTGCATGAGCACACTCTTTCTAGAATAAAACTCTAAGCCCTAACATTGGGACCATCTAACAAATTCGTCTAAGTCAGTTTGTAAATCAAAATGATCAGTCTAACTCCTCATCGTTCTCCAGATTTTGGCATCATCCGCAAACAATAATATTACAGGGGAACTGAAGACATTTGCCTGATTAAAACCTTTATATTGAATATTAATAATTTTACTGTGTTTTTTGTATGTATTTGTTTTACTGAACTTCTGAACTTTGTTTGTTTATATCATTATCTACGAACATTTTTGTTTCTCTTTGTCTTTGGTTTGGTATTTCAGAGGTTTCACTCTGGGAACCTATAAAACTGAAGAAGTACATTTGGGTCGACTATTTGTAAATTGTGAACAAACTTTGGTACCTAAATTGGAGCTTTGTTCTTTTATTAGTTTGGGTACGTAAGTTGCAAGTAGGTCGATATACCGTACTTCAATGACGGAAGGGGGCAAAAACAATGACGTAAAAGTAATGTCGATGACTTAAGCAATCGCTGCAATCCATTGACGAAGAGAAGGAAAAGTAAGGGACCTAAAATGATGTCTTTGGGCAGGCCACTTTCGACCGTCTTCCATTCAGATAGTGGGACATTCACAGTAGAGCGAACGGTTACCTGTACAAACACATAAAGCTTTTCAACATTCAATGTAAGATAATAGGGAATATAATGCCTATGTGAAATAAGGAATTGAATAAACGCTTGAGCTCTACTGTTTTGACGTATACGTAGTTGTTTGAGGTCAACTCTTAACTAATAAATTATATTCTACTTCGTCGTTAGTACTGCTCTAATAATAAACTTGATCCCAAACGTGTAGATTTGTTATGATGTGAATACATAATCTATAAGATCTTACGTGGAAGCCACATCATTTTCTAACTTGGTTAATCGCGTTGTAGCAATCATCACTGTATGGTGGAGAACAAACTTAACCTGGAGGTTGCCAGGAAAATATTTAATATGGAGAGAAATAATGTTGCATTAGTAAGACCACGCCCGCAATGCCAAGCTGTGCCATCCGATCAATTCGAATTCATTCCTCCCACTTTCTCCATCGTTGGGTTTTTCTCCGCTTTAAATGCTGAATATCCATCTTCCCAGTTGTCTCGTGTTCAGCTTTTAGGATTGTGTGGTTACAGTTGAGTGCCACTACAAGTTAAGCAAAGTGGGATTACAATAGTTCAGTATGATTTCGTGTAGAGGTATTTTGATAAGCTGCAGTATGATGCGTAGTAATAGCCGTTGGTTAATAGCTTGACGTGTAGGTAGTACAAGTATTTTGTTTGTAGAACAAAACAAATAATATTGTAGAAATGTTGATATTGCTATTATTTTCGGTTTAAATTATAAATTCAAGTAACGTTTATGCCGGTAAGCTGTCTGTATGAGTTGATTTTCAATGGCATGATAAACAGTGGATGATGATCATGTGAATATCAGCGAGAACATAGGTTGTAACCAGAGCGAGTACAACTCCCAACCCATGTCTATGATAACGGCTCGAAGCTTAGTCAGAGTTGGGGTAAGTTCGACAATGTTTTCAGTATGTAGGAGATTTGCTCGGCTGCTTATGTTGATGATTTGCATGCAATTAAACTGACAAGGTTTTAAGATATTTACTGAATGAGCAACACAGAGAAACATATTGGAATCATCTGTAATAGATAAGGGTAACCGAGAGAAAACAACACTATTTATTACATGTCGGCTTGATGACCGATTTCGTTAATATTTACATCAATTTCGTCAGCCATATTATCTGATTGTCAAGTCATGGCAATGCTTTATGACGATATCCAGAAACCTTTATGAATAACTAGTTGTAGTGTTGATTAAGGAATAGCCAGGGGGAAATATGTATTGTTGTTTTAACTTATTCCGAAATATCACAAGTTTGTAGTACCAACGGACCCAACCTACCTGATTACATTACAATTTGCGACCAAGAAATATCCGTTCACTTGCTCTTTAATTTAATAGTAGCCTCGGAGTTTGTTTTGAATGCTTTTCTGATTAATTGCGTGATATTTTCACCATTATATCAGCGTAGCATAATAGTACTTAGTGCAACGACCGAACTATCAGTATTCGGTTTGAACGCAGGACCGACGAACCAAAATGTATTCAAATAGGCCAGACTACGCTCTTCTGTATAGCCTGCCAAGCGTTTTTGGGACACTCGTATTAAATTATATCAAAACACAAACTCTGTGCTCAATTTAAACGGTCCTAATTTAGGAAATAGAACAAATTGTATAAAAAATACAAAATATCTCAAACGGTACAGCCTGTGCTACATAGTCAAAAGTTTCTCTAACGCAAAGTAGCGCGCTAAACAATAAAAGAAACAGTGAATACCACAGGGTTTCATACATGTGAGTCAACAAATCTATTCCCAACAAAACTGGATCAAATACCTATCTGCAGGGATTCCAGAAATCCTCCCAAGCAGACAGTCAAAAGGTTAACACTCACACACTGAATCACTCCGTGACCGTGAGCTTAGTCAAACACGACCTTACTGTCAACAGTCAGGCAACATGCAATAGAAAATTAGGTAACAAAAAGATAAGTTTTTAATCAAAATCACATAATAAAAGCTCAAACGAGATCTGAACAAAGGTTAAAATATACGACAGGAAGAATAGACAAATAAATGACAATACTGTCCAGCAAAAAAGGCTGTGGAGGGATTTGGCTGCAATTAAACGCAACCCAATTTCGTAAATGTGCACTTCAGCTTGGCAGGCAATCGGAATGAGGCGGGAATCGTTATATCCGCCATTTTTGTAAGCAATGGCGGTCGGTTTTCTTCGTTCTGTGCTTCTTTCAGCTATTTCTTTTGTGTAGCTATGTAATTTAATGTTTCGGTGTGCTAAAATGTTGCAGTTAGTGTAATGTTCTATATGTTGGTGTGAAATCTGCGAACTGAATCATCAGATAATTTCTTCGAGCAGGAACTAGTTGATGCGGTTATAACATGTGCCCTAGTGCAACATGTGAAAGAAGCGACTAGGTACGACCCGGACACTGAATCATCCTTACTAGATCTTATATTAACTCACTATGAGGATGACGTTGCGAACCTCCTTTACATGCCACCCCTAGGTAAAAGCAATCACACAGTTTTAACTTTTGACTTCCATATAACTGTCAATCACGAGCACGCGTCAACTCAATCCAGATCTAACGTCTGGAAAGCAAACATACCAGATATCATGCACTCAGCATCATTAGTAGATTGGACAATAGACCCAGAGTCCTCAATTCAAACGGCTTGGGACGCATTCCGAAATTTATATTTAAAAGTTGCCTCACCTCACATCCCTTGGACTATACCAAGGAGGCCGAGAAACTCTCAACCATGATTCTGTAGGGAGGTCCGCATCCTTCTCTATAAGAGAAGAAAAATGTGGGATAGATTTAGGTTACTGGGGACTGACGAGACAAAATCTCAGTACTGAAAAGCTAGAAACACCTGTGCCTCGACCCTCCGTAAGTCTAGAAAGCTGTACGAAGAAAAAAGTGTTAAGGAATCCATAGAATGTCCTAAACGCCTGTATTCCTATATAAACCAAAGGACAAAAATAAGAGGAATTATTCCTGCACTATGGGGAGACAGTACTGTCGCATGATTAGTGGAAGATGAATTTAGTAAGGCTCAAATGTTCTCAAACTATTTTAGCAAAGTATTTGCCATAGAAGCGCCCTTCTCGTCAGCGCATACAAACCCACACACACACATACACTGGATAGCGTGACCATTAATGAACTCGATGTCTTTGATCTGCTAAATAAGCTTGACATAGGTAAATCCATGGGGCCCGACGAATTGCATCCTAGGCTACTAAAGGAATTATCTAACTTCGTTGCGAACCCTTTAAGTATATGCTTTAAGCTATCCGTAACGCAGGGTCGTTTACCAAAAGACTGGAAGAACGCCATAGTAGGCCCTGTCTTCAAGACAGGTACGAAATGTAAAGCTGAGAATTACCGACCCGTTAGCCTAACTAGTGTGGTTGTTAAAATCTTAGAAAAGATTATTCGGAAAGAGCTGTTTAAATACCTCGATGTAAACCGAATCCTTTCGGAGAAACAGCACGGCTTCAGAATAGGTTATTCTTGTCTCACTAACTTAATAGTCACTCGAGAAAGCTGGTGCGCTTTTAAAGACCAAAAGTTACCTGTAGATGTGGCTTAAATTGATTTCAGCAAAGCTTTTGACAAGGTTCCGCTTAACCGGCTGTTACATAAGCTAAAAAATGTCGGAATTGGAGATAATCTATTTATTTTATTTTTATTTATTTATTTATTTATGGCTTTATTCAATATTATATTTTGGTACAATATAGAATTCTCAGCACGAAAATATTTCAACAAGTTTCTTTTACAGAACAAAAGAAAAAAAACGGTTAAAAAAAATCTGAAAAAAAAAACTTTACAACTTTTCAATTAGAGTCATGTTAAGAATGCAGATTATTGACTAGGTTAACTATAACAACCTGTTCGTCACAGAGTACATTTGCTAGGTAAGGTACTATAGAACGTTTATACTTTTGCTTGCGTGCTTGGATTTTAATGTAATTTCGTCTCGTTCTACCAGAAGATATACAAGGAGAAAGATATGAGTGAAGGGGATGGTTAGTATCTGATAAAATAAC